CCGGCCCCCAACCACCGGAATGTTTTGGGCACTTTGCTAAGTTAAGACTATTTTTTTTATAATATTCTTTTATAACTTATATATTTTAGTCCATCGACTTCATTGCCACTTTTTAATGCACACTACGTATACATTAGTGTGTATTCTGTTAATTTTTACCCTTTTGCTATATCAGCATTATATGTATGTATTTGACTATGATAGTGCTTTAACCATATCCTTTAGTAACATGCAAGCATCCATTATTAATTAATGTTTTAGGATTACTAAGTTTTAAGTTGCAAAGTCTGTGATGATGCTATTATATTATTGGCTATTTAGTGTATCTAGATAGGACATGGTTAGCTATGGCTGTGATATTCTGTACATGTATACTTATATTTATCTTACACAGATTATGTGTTGTTTTATAATTGTTGTAACTTTGTTGTAAATAGTGTACATCATGCTTGACCATATGTTAGACAGGTATTTGACTCATTACGTTATCAAGTTGAAATAAAGACTATTACTATTGTTAATATATATATATTTTCATATGAGAATCAAATGACTTTTTTTTTAAATTTTAGATATTAAAGGATGAACAGGAACTTACGGAATACCTATTGGATTTTAAAGTAATAAAGTTATAGACATAATCTAAAATGAATGACAGAAGAGGATACAATTCGGACCTTGATACTGATCATGCACCCGTTCTTGCGCATAGAGAAGGAGTTGATGAACCTGCTACAGCTTTTCATGAAAGGAACGGATTTCACACTGAGAATCCTAATGTATCACCAAGGATAACTAATTGTCCACCTGCAGTGGTGCATGCTGAGCATGTGTTGAATCATGCACCACAACAGGTAAATGTAAACGATACTGGCGTTTCATTTGATCGGCCAAAATACATTCAGTATGCTATCCGTGTGTCAAGACTCAAATCATATAAGAATTGGTCAGAATCACATTTTCTGAAGTCCAATGAATTATCAGATGCAGGCTTCTTCTCTTGTGGTGAGTACCCTGATACATATATATTTCAATACTGGTACATAATTATGCCAAAATACTATATAGTGTATGTGATGATTTTATAAACGAATCTAAAATGTGTTTCTATTTAGATTTGTATTTATTTGAACAGAAACCTAAAATGCATAAATTCTAAAAAAAAATATATTTTCATGTTTCAATTTTTTGTCAAAGCATGAAATAGCAAAAATCTAAAATCTACATGTACTAGACATTATAAGTCAATAAGTATAATACTTTCAAAGCTGAATGGAAAACAGATTTTTTTTTTATGACTCATGGTAATAACAATTATCAGTAAGTAATATACTTAGCCATTAGAAAGAGGCCAGGGTTCATGCTCACTTTAATGCTCCATAAGAGATAAGTTTGATTTTTTTTTACAGAAATAAAGTTTAAGGTAATTAAGGCAATTATGAAATGGGGTTTCCTTTTTGGGGCAATTGATAATCCCTGTATAGAAAAAAGAGAGGGGTAAAATTGATAAAGGGTGAAATTTATCTTTAATGATTATAGCTGTGCGTCACTACTCCCCGTGGGTTATTCAACACAATTGCTATTGTTTTCTAATATTTTTAGGTCAGATTTGCTTAAGAAAATATCATTTATTGTGTAAGTAAATAGATACTGTTGTTAGTATATAGCTACCTCTTACTAGGTAAATAATGACTAATCTCACTTTATCTGTATCCGAACAGAAAATCTGCGACTTTGAATGAAGTGAATAGAATGTTCTGGACTTTTCTGATTGGTTAAATTCAAAAGTGATATTGTCACATTGTGCATTGACTGTGGCAAATATTATTATTATTATTAATATTATTGTCACAGTGTGAAGGAGCTTTTGTTTATCAAATTAATCAAATTCAATATTTCACTGGCAAAAATGCAAAGGAAATTTGGTATTCAATGTTCTTGTGCTCTTATAATATTATGGTTTTGAAACAAAAATCGGCTGAGGGAAGTTAGCTAAAAGGTTTTCGACAAACCTTGAAAATATAAATGCATAATATTGAATGTATAACTGCAGCAGTGTTGGAGACAAAAAAGAAGAGAAAGATTTTAAACATAAAAGCATCACTTTGAACCATAATTATTACATACAAGGGACATATTTTTTTCAGAAATTAAGAGTTTAAAGTAATTGGAGAATCTTGAAGTTAAAACTTGAGACTGAAGTATTATATAAAACAGATGATACAGATTTGTTTGTATGTTCACATTTTTGTTTATCAATTAAACTCCCCAAATAAGTAAGGGGCCTTTTCCGAATTGTCCTATTCATCAAATGCAAATGTCTATTGTTTATTACTGTTTATAAATTGTTATATGATTAATAAATAATCTACATATAATTTACACTTACCAGGGGTAATATATATTATTGTTTAATTTTCTGGCATTAATGTTTTTTCACAGAAATGACTCGATCCATATGAATCCCATCTTGCAATGTATTTTTAATTATTGGTGTTGGAAATTTTAAGTTTGAAAATAAAATGAACAAAAGAGAAAACAAACCTACATTGTATAGGGAGCAGAGGCTCCTACAGAATTATAATTATTTAAAGTTTGAATATTTGAAAATAGCAATTATATGTTAAAGCACAGTGTCAAAATGAGAGAAAATGTCTTGATAAGGGAAGCAACTCTTACTCTAAGCCAGGAAAACAGCAATCTGATTAAAATCAGCTGTTACATGGCTCCGCCTGAACATCTGAATGTGCCGCGGTCAGGGTCACGTTCAAGTGACCTTTAGATGAACCAATTAGAGGCACGCTGGCAAAAGTTTGCCAGCGAATCGGAATATCATGGTTGATTAATAAATAGCGAGGGGTATCGAACAGATTTGTTTCCAAAACGAATATGGCGGTGGGAACTGACGTTTCTATGACGCCAAGGAAAACTAACCCGGCACACTCAGATGTTCAGGCGTAGTACGAAGTTAACGAAGCCATGTAACATGTGATTTTAATCAGATTGGGAAAACAGCTTTTTCCTCGCTTTGCCTGTATCATATATGATAAGGAATACGAAGCATAATCCAAGAAAAGAAAACAGCTCTGAAGTTCAATTCTTCTTCCTGATTATGACAATTGAAACGTTTACATTAGGTGATTTATTTTAGAATACTTTTTTGGTTTCTATTGTTCAATTACAAAAAGTAATATATATAAGAGACAGACTTTCCTGTTTTCCTTTTTTTTATCATATTGTCATAATTTTTTTCAGAAAGTGGAGATACGGTTGTCTGCTTTTATTGTGGGTTATCTTTGAATGCATGGGAAAGAGGAGATCGACCATGGACGGAACATGCACGATGGTCTCCAAATTGTACACATATTCTGAACATGATCGGACCTAATTTTATTAAGGAAACACTTGAATGTGGCGGCGATGTGATCAAGGTAATTAACCATCATTACACCATTTTTTTGTGCCCCCACCAACCTCCAACCAAAGAAAAAGGCAATATTTGCTTTTCTCTAAGAACTATTTGTAAAGATTTAATGCAATAATTAAATATATAAGTCATTATTTGAGTTTATAAAAACACAACTTTACATTGCTTCATGTACATTCCATTTCCACTAGCATAAATCCAAAATTTCTGGACTAGCCTGGTTCAGAATAACGATAAGTGTGTAATGCAAGGGTTAATATTTCACAAGTCAAATAAAGACTGATTTTAAAAAGATCAATGAAGGGTTGAACTTTTCATTATTACACCTCAAAAACCTTTTATGGGTTAATTTAATTCATCATTTGGTATTAAAGCATTCTTTTGCCAAGAGATTCATTTTTAGCTCACTTGGCCAATATGCCATGGTGTGGCGTCGTCCGTCCAGCGTTCGGCATCCGGCATCAATATTTTACTTTTAACAATTTCTTCTTAATAACCAAAAGGTCTAGGGTGATGATATTTGACCAGAAGCAAACTGGGATGAAGGGCTACCAAGTTTGTTGAAACAAATGACCTTCACCAATTTTCAAGGTCACAGGGGTCAAATATGTTGAAATTTTTAACAACTTTTGAATAACCAAAATTCCCAGAGTGATAATATTTGGCCAGTAGCATGCTGGGATGAAGGCTACCAATTTTGTTCAAATGAATGACCTTTACTTATATTCAAGATCACATGTGTCAAATATGTTTAAAACCTTTAAACAACTTATTCTAAGTACCCAAAAGGCTTAGGATGATGCTATATGGCCAGTAACATTCTGTGATAAAAAAATTACCAAGTTTGTTCAAAGGAATGACCTTGGCACAAATTTAAGGTCACAGGGGTCAAATATGTTTAAAACCTTTCAACAACTTCTTAATAACCAAAAGGCATAGGATGATGCTATTTGGCCAGTAGCAGGCTGGGATAAAGGGCTACCAAGTTTGTTCAAATGAATGACATTGACTTATATTCAAGGTCACAGGGGTCATTTTTTTTTTAAAACCTTTAAACATTTTCTACTCAATAGCTAAGAGGCCTAGTATATTTATATGTGGCCAGTAACATGCTAGGATGAACAGCTACTAAGTTTGTTCAAATTAATGACCTTTACTTATATTCAAGGTCACAGGGGTCAAATATGTTTAAAACCTTTATATAAACTCTTCTGAATAACCAAGAGGCCTAGTGTTATGATATTTGGCCTGTAGCATGCTGGTATGAAGGGCTACCAAGTTTGGTCAAATGAATGACCTTGGGTCACAATGGTGAAATATGTTTGAAACCTATAGACAACTTCTCAATAACTGATGATGATATTTGGCCAATAACATGCTGGGATAAAAGGCTACCAAGTTTGTTCAATTGAATGACCTTGACTTGTATTCAAGGTAACAAGTGTCAAATATGTTTAAAAACCTTTAAAAAGCTTCTTCTGAATAGCCAAGAGTCATAGGATAATGATATTTGGCCAGTACAGCTGTAGTTTTAGTCCACTTTAAAAATTACAAGTATAAAATTAATACCAGGTGAACGATTCAGGCTCATTGGGCCTCTTGTTGTGTAAATATATATGATATCCCCAACAAGCAGCAGGTCAATCAGGACTTAGGCATACAAACAGTGTCAGGTTTGAAATTGTGGTTTCCACAGTCTTGTACAAGTACACAACCAGATATAAAGTTGTAAGTTAAAAAATATCAAGTGAGCTGCATGTTCAGACTTGGTTTGTAAATGTTAGTTGTATTAATTAGCATTCTGTTCTTATATAGTCGGGGAAATGGACAGTTGCTGGGTTTTTAAAGACACATGATTTACAATTTGAGAGGCAAATTGATTGTGAATAGGTATTTTGGGTTATAATTTTAAATTTCACAATTATAACATATTTTACAATACAGATGCAGGCTGTTGATGACAAGTACCAAAGGATACGACAGCATGGGACAGACTTGCAGACAGGTATGAATATAGAACATTGTATATATCACTTCCTTCATGTGTGTACCTTGTATATTAATTTTGCTTCCTGATTGTGTTTATGACAGGACAGGATAGGTTTATGATTACCAGATCTAGGACTTACAATTATTGTTATAAATATGTGACTACATGTATTTTGACAAGAAGATATATGTAAACGTTGCTTACCAAACACAGGTCTTACACAGACTGGTATATATATATATCTCAAGGTCAGGTAATGGTTACATGAAGGAGTCAAATGTCAAGTCACTCCAATACTTCTCCAGACCATAGCTTCTGATCTGTTGGAAGAGTTTTTGGTAAACTTCACAAATCAGTTATTGTACAAACCAGTCGCAAGTTTGTATTCTGAAGTTCAAGGTCACAGCAAGGGGTCTTACATCAAATCATTGTTGTGCTTGTCGTAACTGTAACTCTATACAGTACTGTTACTTATTATCTTGAAAAAAAGTCTTAAGGTAGAAGGTCTGTACCATGAAAAGCAAGACTTGTAATCATATATATAATTGCTTCATGCTAAGAGGTCAAATCACTGCAATATATTGATACTTCTAATGTATCACAGTGAACATAGGTCAATATCATCTACATGTGTAGGTAAAAGTCACAGTAAGCTGTCAAATTTCAATTCACTGACATATATTGTTCGTCTGGACTTCTGAATTGTTGAAGATATGATTGACATTTTTGATTAACTATTCGTAGGTTTGTAAATTAGTTAGTTGTATATTGCATGCAGATCTGTTACTGAAGGTAATATAAAATTGTATAGGCTTGCAGAGTATATCACAGTATCATGTTACCCTCAAGGTCAAAAGGTCAGGGAAATCATAACTTTATGAGCTCCTGCATTCTTTGAATTCATTTTGCTAGTGAAGTTTGTTCACAAGCTGAGTACATGTACCAGAAGTTTTCACCAGAAAAGTAGATGCATGATTTATGTAGAACAGCTATTCTATTAAATTTCTTGGATATGAATTTGAAGTGACTTAATAAGTAAAGCATCTGAAACAAAGCAGGTGAGCAATGAAGGCCATTATATTCCCATGTCTTATGTGAGATTTTAAAAAACATGAACTACTGTTGTTTGATCTGGTTTTTGTGGTTGTTTTTGAACAGATTCAGAAAAGGGTGCCACGACCAGGAAGGAGCCTGAATTCTATGAAGACATGATGCAGAGATCATCTGTGCAGAGTGTATTGGAAATGAACATTGACCAGATAAAAGTCAGAGATGCCATCCGTATTCTAATCCATAGAAAAAGTATGTTTACAGTCCAAAGTAGTAGTATACTATAGTAAGCATCCTGTATAGTCATAAACTTTTAAGGGAACAAATTTACAGTAATGTGTTAAACGATAGCCATTCATATGATATCTTTTTCATTTCTTATTATTGATTCATTTGACAGAAAGTGATGAGTTCACAGCAGTGCAATTGATGGAGATTGTGTTTGATATAGACGATGGAAACTTAACAAAAGATGACAAATGTGCCCTGGAAGGGAAAGTCACGAAAAGTGAGGGAAATGTTGCTGTCAATGGTAAGTTATTGTTATGATAGCTTTGTTGCTAAATATCAAACTGCCTCTTTATTCAATCATCTAAAGTCTTACAACCAAACAAGTAGTGTGTAAGCTTTGTTCCATATACTCACTGAGTCATGAGATGCAACAGTGATTTAATCTACAACATGTCTGGTAATATAACTCTTCTGCCAGTAAGAAACATTCCTGGACAAAGTAAATTTAGTTTGTACAAAAACGGCCTGATCTGGGAGACTCCATGAGACAGATAGGGTAAATCCTTATAAGACAATTTATATCATTAGGTGAACAAGCTTTAACATATATATTGCATGAACTCAAATGCTGAATTAGGGAAGAAAGTTTATGTTAAACATTAAGTATGCGTAATGGCCTTAATATTGAAAGCTTTGACTTATTTTGGTATAAATGATATCCTGCTGCTAATTGGATAAAATAGTGTATAAATAAAAGTATACTAGTTGCCCACACATGGCAGAACATGTCTAGTTTGTTTAACCTAATAGATTCTAAATTGAATGTATTCTCGGTAGAAATCTCTTTAAGTCTAATTATTGTTTTATTTTTATTTAGGGTCATGCTCTAAGTCTGAAATTTTGAAGGAAAACGACAGTCTGAGAGACCAGCTCACCTGCAAAGTGTGCCTTGAAGCTCGTGTTTCCATAGTGTTTTTACCGTGTGGACATTTAAGCTGTTGTGGGGAATGTGCGCCTGCGTTGAAAAACTGTCCAATTTGTCGTGCAAACATTAAGGGAAGTGTGAGAACGTTTCTCACGTGAAAAGGAACAAAATGAAAAATAAGTATGAAAAATAAGTATAAACATTTTTTAGTGTTTTCTGTAGTGCAATTTTTTTTTCTCATGCAAAATATTTCTCAACATGTGCAACATGTAACAACTTTTACAGTGGCAGAATTACAGTGTTTGAAGACTGGATATTGTACCATGTATTCTTATAGTGTTATATAACCATATTTTGCTTCTACTTATGTGAGTGAAGTTGCACAAAGCTATACTGTGATACACAACATGTGGATTTATATCATTTCTGAAAGAAGAAAAACAGCTCTTGGTTACCATGAATTGCATAACAGTAAGCCTAAACCAAGGAGTGGCAGCCATCATCAAATATTCTTTTTAAGTCTTCAGGCCCAGAACAGCTAATGGAACATAAATTGGTTAAAAGCATGTCTAAGCCTATGAAATTAAAAGAAGATATGGATATGAAATTTCTTCAATGTTAAATGATTTTCATCTCTGTTAATTTTTTTCAATCTTGTATCACATGTATTTTACACACATATATGTTAAGCTGAAGATAGATTGAATCTTTATTGGTTGCAAACATTTTCAAATGTAACAACATTGTTTCATTTCCGTCTTATTTTTAACAAGATGTAATACATAATGTATAGATGTTATACATAATGTATAAATGTACACACTGAACCTGATAACTTATAACATATAATGAATCAAGATAACTTTAGCTCAAGTAACTTCAGGACGGATATTTCTCTCATTTCCCTGTGTGTAAGATAGAGCTGTCCAGGGTAAGAAAGGGGTGTAAGAAATTTCTATCTTACACCACATTTCACGTGACGTGCATCACAATGACTCAACAATGACGTGACATTACAAATTTGGAAATCTCAGATGCCACAATGTGAAAAGGCTTTGTGATGAAATTAAAACCTTTTACGGTATATTTACCGTATACGTTAGAAAGATGTGATTTTTTTTTTTGGCGCAAACTCTGTTTGCTAATATGGGGTACACTTAATCTGGCTAACTTGATTCGTTTTCGTCTAAAAAGCTCAGGGGAAACATTGATATTTTCAAAATGGTAGCCAGTCCAAACGCATTATCATGGCTTCTGAGCTTATTCTGGTAGTTGGAATGAGAGAAAAATACTCTTTTTATGCCCAAAGGTGTGTGATAGGCAAATTCCACCCTCAGGATTTTCAAATTTGGCAAAACCCTCGGCAAAGCCTTGGGTTTTATCTTTGAAAACCCCTCGGGTGGAATTTCCCTATCTTACTCGAAAGAGTCTTATAATATTCCACTCAATGGAGTTCAAGTTAATGAGGTCCTGATAATTCCCTATTCATTATTTAACTATATGAATAATATTTCTGATCCAGATTTATTATATTTCATTTGCCTTTCAACCATACTATAAATATGTATGTCCAGTTCCATTATAGTTCTTGTGCTACTGGTAGTTTTTTCTCAAAGCAGTCATTTTCATTTTTTTTTTTTTTTAGAAACGTGGTGCTTGTATTATATTGTATGCAATATGTATTGTAGGCTATTACAAGTACCATTTTCTCAAAAACGTAGAAAATGTATTGTTTCCATGCAAATTAATTCCAACATGTTATTTTAACATGTGATAACTTACTGTAATTCATATCTCTGATATCTGTTTCTTAACAGAGCTATCATTAGACTTTAGTACATGTAATCAATTTTGCAATCAGTGCACTGAAAACAAATATAGACAGTTTTGAATCAAGAATTGAGAGGTAGATGATCACATAGAAAGTTTTCAAAAACATAATTGATAAGAAATTATTGTACCAGCAAAAATGTTTCAAAAATTTGATAAAAAACTACTGCACATTGAAACAAACTAATAATCACCACACTTAATACAAAGTATTATTATAAACCACATGACATTCCATATTGTCTAGCATTGTCATTAATAATAAAAAAAAACACCCAAAAAACCCCATTAAGACTTTTTAATGTACTAAATCATTTAGCATGGATTTTTGCCCATTGTAATTTTGACTGCTTGCCCCTGACCTGTTTAGCAATGGTCAAAAGTTTTTGTTTATAGTAAACACTGTGAATTCAATACTGGTGGAGACAACACTTGTTTTGAAGTGCCGAAAAGCTAAAGTTAACAGGACGCAATATTATGAAATAATATGGGTTGCTGTTTACATGAACAGTGAAAGTAAGGATGATCTCGGTACATAATATGTACAATGTAAATATAATTCAACATGTTCTATAAGTATCATGCCTGTGTTAATAATTATTCACTGGACATGTAAGTGTTACATTAATGTTAATTATAATATTTATCTTTTTGTAAAAAAAACAGTTAACAACATTATGCATATGTTAATCTATACTTGGGCATGGCAACACTGCTGAATCAACACTAATTTTCTATAAAATAATGTGCAGATGTATGTATGTATATCGTGTATATCTACACAGGTGGAAAACAAGTTATATGTGATAAATATGTCTACATATGCTATCATTATAACGACACTGTTAATTAAGATTATGTACATAATGTAAAATACATATACAGTGTACCTTGTACATGTTATAGCTTCAGGTACGCGAGAAAGTTTGATGTACATATTGTAAACATGTAAACACACACTGTACAGGACTTGCTGTTATTATGTATTATGTAAATAGTGTATAATTCAGAATCAAGCATCTGTAATATAACTTGCACACTTCAACATTGTTAATAATGGCATCAAGAAATGAAAATTTATTTTAACACATTAAGGTAAATGTAATTATTGTCCATTATTTATCTCTTTCGTTAGGTTTCTATTATCAAAGTCTGAAATTGTAAATTCCAGATAAATGAAACCAATACCCATACTGTAAATGAAACATTTGGAAATGAAACATTTTTTTCTCAAACTCAATTTACTAACAATGAGCCAATAAAATTGTGCACGCAATTTGTTTGTTGTAGTAACATTTTGTTTAAACAAATTAAAAATTACACTGTGTAGGTTTGATGTCATTAATATTTGTCTGATTTTGTAAAAATAAAGGTATCAATGTTAGTAAATCAACCGCCAGTTTCTAATTGGAGATCATGCTGATCTTTGATGCACACGGACTGTATGTACATAAGGATACATGTACATATTATAAAGACTACAAGCAAATCTATATGCTATTGTAATTTAAAAATTACCTGGCCGGTACATGTGAGTTTTCTTGTGATGATTTTTCTGGTAGTGAAATGTTTATGTACATAAAACGTAACTTTAACCCTTTCACCCCTATGTAACTTTAGTAGACTCTACCATGCATTGATATGGATGAGTGGGGGGATTGAGTCCATTATGGTCTACAGTGGTGAAAGGGTTAATGAAGGAGTGAGATTAACTAATTACTCAGAATAATATGCTAAGCTTACAAGAGAGCCTTCGATGGCTATCGCCCATATTGCTCACTCAATTCACTCTAGTGGTGCAGCAAGGTGACTTAATCAGTAACGTCGCTCGAACAAACAAGCTTCCACGTAGGAGCCTATTACGGATGACAGGAAGGTGATACTTTCCCTTACTTAGGTGGTTGAGGTGAAACATGTTGTGGATAATAAGTTACAATGTATAGCAGAGACATTCGAGGAAGAAATTGTTTGTTTTGTGCCCATCTAGTGCTCTTTATCTGGATTCCCGGAGATCTCGAATTCTCCAATGTAGAACAGTTGGCGCATGGGATATCGAAGATAAGTCCAAACTTGTCCTTGTTACAAGATTCGTCCTTGGTGGATTCAAAGAGTTCTTTATACTGTTTCCGGGTTTTGAAGTAAAAAGTGACGCCATTCTCCACTAGGACGGGGATGTTCTCCAGTAAACCTCTTGTACATGTACAGGGAATATGCCTTCCTTATTTTCTGAGGAAATGTTTCAGTGGAGTGTATAGTTGTACTCACTAGAGTGCTGATTGTATTTGACGACGTTCATCTTCCTAATCCATCTATGCATTGTAAACGATTTTGTTCCTGGCGGTATGGGTTCCTACCGGACCAAAGGTGGGGTCAACATTTGACCCCCTCTTTGTTTTCTTTTGTTCTTTTACCATATGTAGATACATAAAAATGATCAATAACTGCATAAATGATTATTCATAATTACTACTGATAACCGTAGTGGACCTCCTTGCATAACGCCAAGTTGAGTGACGGAGGTATCCTAACAAAATGACCGATAAATATCACAGGCGAATGATATTTTGAAAATGAATAATGATAGTGTATTGTGTATAAAATTTCTGTTATTTTGATACTAAATATGTCATATTTGGTGTACATGAAGTAAGCATAGTGATACTTTTATTAGAAAAACGTGCAACATTTTCGCAAAATTTCAAATGTAACCAACATTGTCAACTTGCCTATATATAGTTACACTAGTAGTCTATATTTTAAACTTCTTTAAAAACTTCCCATATATGTATTCTGTCTACAGAATCATTTTTATGTAATATCAAAACCGGTAAAGTACTTTTGTAGCAAGCCAAACATGATCAATGCCCAATTTCACATAATCTTGAAGATTGGACTTTCAATGTTTATTATGATAAATACCGATACATTTTCTGTTTTTGTATCATACCAAAACACTTTATTATATTACGCATGTTTTAAAGTTATGTGCAGCAGTAATAACTCATGAATATATATTCTGCCAAAGTAATCTTTCCTCTGGAGAGCTACTTAAGGTTGAGATTGTGTTATAGACAAAGATATGCAATTATATAAGAATATTAAAATAATAATTATACTAGTATACACGTTATTATACCTCCCACAACGAAGTTAGGGGTGGGGGTATACTGGAATCAGCTTGTCTATCCGTCTATCTGTCCGTAGAAAAAGTTTGTCCGGATAACTCCTTCTTAAGTAATATCCAGGTATTATTATTTTCATTCTGACCCTTTTTAACAAAATTATGGCCCTGTGTTGAAAAATCCTTGTCCGGACATGTCCTCCAAAACTAAGGGGTCAATTTCAACGAAAGTTTTCAGATATGGTAACTACTATCTGATGGTGTGCATTCAGGTATTCTTTTTTTCCATCCAACCCCTTTTTTACGGAACAATGGCCCTTTGTTGAAAAATGCTTGTCCAGACAACTCCTCCAAAACTATGGGACCAATTCCAACGGAAGTTTACAGATATGGTAACTGCCTCTGATATTGTGCATCCAAGTAGTATGTTTTTCTTCCGACCCTTTAAAAAGGAGTTATGGTCATTTGTTGAAAGTTTACAGATATAGTAATTACCCCCTGATGTCGTGCATAAAGGTAGTATTTTTTTTCATTTCGACCCTTTTTAAGGAGTTATGGGTTTTTGTTAAAAATCTTTGTCTTGACAACTTTTCCTTAACTACTAGGACGATCTCAGCAAAACTGGTTCATCTGGGCTAACAAGGGTGTTTTGGCATGGGGAGGGAGTACGAGAAGTATGTCAGTGACATATATACTTAAATAATTACTGGTGGGAGACTATGGATTGTTTTGCAATGCTTTGTCTTAGTAAGCCTTTAGCTTACAGTTCTGGTTTATATAGGAGCGGGGGTATCAGTTATTCTTTGGCTTATAGTTGTAGTTATTATTTTGTTTTGCGTATTGCCCATTCATTAAACAAAATGTGAAGGAGTATTACACTGTTTTATATTGTTAACTCTATACAAATAAAGCAGGGAAAGATATTCTTGTCTGACTCCCCATACAAAATATTTATTTCAGAACATTTGATTTTATGACCTTGAACGAGGTCAAGGTCATCAAAGTTTACAACACTTAAACTTATTCACATGAACAACCTACTTGCCAAATATCAAGACCCAAGGACCTTTAGTCATAGAGAAACACAAGTTAAAGGAAATGTGGAAAGGAAGCTATGTTTTTCGTTTTTTGAACCAAAATGTTATATGACAAATTTACCGGCTGTCTTTTTTTTTGAAATTACTGATGTTGTAAGATATTATTGGTAGCCAACTTTTCAGCAAGTAAGAAAAATAGACTAGTTTTAGAACTATGTAAATTAACGTGTCAAAAATGGAAATTTTCTCATTAGAAATGAAATTTGACACACTTTTTCTGCTTAAATCTTGAATAAAAAGAACAATTCTTTATTAAAATAGTGTAATATTCGGTATAAAAATAACAGTTGGAATATGTTACACACGATGCTGATATCATTTTATAGTAATTGTGTTATTTAAATGCTCTAGGAGGAATTGTATTACCACACCTTTAACACCCACACAGGTGTAAATCAAGGAGGTCCCATTTATCATCAAATGAGTTCTAAAACTAACTGTTCCTGATTTAAGCTTCCTATCCCCATACATTTTTGGATTTATCTTGTTTTGGAATTCCAAGCGGTGGCCGACGCTAATGTTAAATCTCCATAGGTGTTTACCCTACCTGTATGCTGAAGAGGTTGGTGTGAGTCAATTAAAGCTAGAGTGATCTGTTTGTATGGCCTAACGGTATAAAGTAGATCTCACTAAACTGCACAGATTCACCATTATCCGTATGTTCAGCATTTTATTGCTGCCGTAAGCTCTCCGCTAAATGGCAAACTCTATTCCATATTTAGGTTAATGTGATCCATAAAGTAACCGATTTTAAAAATTCATCATCAACGTACCTGTACCTGAATCAGGCAGATGGAGAGCAAATACTTAAAGGATAGCACGTTCCATAAATTTATCACTTGACAAATTTTCATATAAGGCAGCCGTCGGTAATTGTTCATGCAGCGGATATACGAAATAGTTTAAAGTAGACAGTGAAAGCTTCATACGACAGGTACGTAAAGTGGTATCCGTCGTGAACTGTTTAAATAATCATAGTGAATTGTTCGTCTTGGTGATTTTTCATGTAACGGAGATAGATAAATCTGAAAGTGTTTTTAACTTTTCCTTAAGAGGTACAGGATGGCCGT